ACACAGGAGCGTGCCCACTCCCTCACGTCTTCACTCATGCCAGGCCAACAAAAGCGTTCGGCTATGAGTTTGACTGTTGCACGAGCACCTGGGTGAGAAAGATTGTGCAACGTATTGAAGACGTTGCGGCGATAATGTTTTGGTACTATTGGACGATCCCTACCTGTAGATGTGTCGCAAAGTAAGGTTTCCTTACCTGTTCCCATCTGCCTAATACTCAGTTTTAGAGTTGTCGAGGATATCTCATGCTGAAGATCAATGTCTTCTTTTTGAAGCTGAGCGGGTTTAAGAAGGTCGATTCCTTGGAAACTGTTCAAGGAACTTATTCGAGACAAGGCGTCTGCGACTACATTGTTAGCTCCAGAAATATGTTGTATGTCTGAAGTAAACTGCGAAATGTAGTCGAGTTGTCGAGACTCTCGCGGTGAGTACTTGTGTGAAGATGAACTTAAAGAGAAGGTAAGAGGTTTGTGATCGGTAAAAAGTGTGAATTCTCTTCCTTCGATGGAATGTTGAAAATGCCGTACAACACAATACATAGCTAAGAGTTCCCTACCGAACGTGCGGTACCTAGATTCCGCGTCTAGCAACCGTCTCGAGAGAAATCCTAAAGGTTGCCAAGAGTTGTTAACCCATTGTTGTAAGACTCCTCCGATTGCTGAGTTGGATGCGTCTACGGCGATACTAATGGGCGCTTGAGTGTCCTGATGAGCAAGCAGGGTTGCCTTAGCGATGTGTTCCTTAACTGTGGAGAATGCTTTACGGCTGTGTCGTCTAAAATAATCGATTTTGCATTTCCACGAAGCTGGTCGGTTAACGGTTTCATAAGGGATGCGCATTTGGGTATGAACCGTCTGTAGAAACTTACAAGTCCGTTAAAAGTTCGTAACTATTTGATCGTGGTCGGTTCTGGGTAATCCAGAATGGCCGCCACTTTGCTTCTAAGGGGACAGATGTCTTGAGCATCAATAGTGTGTCCTAAGAAGTCTAAGGAGTTGGTTCCGATTTGGCATTTCTGAGTGTTTACAGTAATGCCATGCCTTTGGAGTCGATCGAAAACAATGTCCAGATGCTTGAGATGTGATTCTCTGTTCGGACTTGCTATTAGACAGTCATCAACATACGCATGTACGAAGTTGAGACCTCGTAAGACGTCGTCTATAAACCTTTGGAAGGTTTGAGCCGCGTTTCTTAAACCAAAAGGGATTCGTAGAAATTCGTAAAGACCGAAAGGAGTGATGATGGCGGTTTTAGGAACGTCGTCAGGTGCCATCGGTGTTTGGTTATAAGCCTTAACTAAGTCAATTTTTGAAAAAACAGTTGTACCTTTCAAGGTAGCTGTCAAATCGTGAATATGAGGCAACGGGTAATGATCGGGAATGGTTTTAACATTCAGACGCCGATAATCAGCAGTTGGTCTCCAATCGTTGCTGTCCTTTTTAGGGACCATGTGCAATGGGGATGACCATGGACTATTCGATGGTCGAATTATCCCTAGGTCCATCATGTGGTCGAATTCGTTTTTAGCTAACTTAAGCTTCTCGGGAGCGAGTCTTCGAGCTTTCGAAAATACAGGTGGTCCTGTAGTCGAGATGTGATGTGTAACATTGCTGGTTACACAAGGCAATTTCGATTGCGATTGGTATATCCCGGGATATTTGTCGAGTACTGATTGGTACAAGGGGCCTATGTTGTGCTTAATCGTGACTGGGGATAACCTGCAACCAGAACAAGGAGTTACACAAACAGATAACTTAGTGTTTCCGTCTATTAACCTTCGTGAGCGTGTGTCGATGAGTAGATTGTGGTATTGTAACAGGTCTATACCAATGATTGGCATAGAGACATCTGCAACCACGAAAATTCGGTGTGTGGGTTTGCGTAAACCCACGTTAAGATAGACGTACCTTTTACTGTAAGTAGCGGTCGGCTTTCCGTTTGCCGCCTGTAAACTGAAAACAGACTCGCGCAGTCCGTCGTTGGGATTTGCTGGAAGAACGCTAACTTCTGCACCGGTATCGACGAGGTAGCGAACTTTCGTGGTCACATCAGTGACATATAAGAGGCGGCTGTGTTCGCTGGCTACGGTTGCCGTTAACGCGTGCCGGCTGGGAAGTTTCCCGAACTGTTTTTCGTGTCATTCGATTTTAAGGTCGGATAATTTCAGGGTTCCCTGCAATTTCTGGAAGACTTACCGTACTGGTTATGATACCAGCACCAGTCGTGATTGTCTGTCTCTCGTGGTCGAGAGCCAGATCGCTTACGTGAAACGCTTCTACGCGAGTTTTTTGACCGACTACGGTCATTACGAACTCTAAGATATCGCGTCAGCGTGTGACATAGTTCAGGTATGTCAGTCGGGGTCGATTGAGGTTTTTACTTGATGGAAAAAACCTCGGCCTTAGATGATTTTGTAATTTCTAAGATTCGGTCGGCAGATGCAGCCAGCTCGTCTATGGCGTTGTTTTGAAACGATACGAGCACTGCCTGCACTTGTTGAGGAAGGTTAGACAAGAAAAGTTGTCTGAATAGGCCATCATCGAAAGTTCTTTAACCTGTCACTTCTCTCATCCTAAGAAACATATCTGTAGCAGAACCATGTTGCAGGTCTATATTGTTAAGGAGCTGGTCTAACCGTTGTCGATCAGCCAGGTCTCCGCGTTTTAAAATCGACCGTTTGAAAGTTTCGTACGGTTCCGGAACATCATTAGTAAACATACTAGGTGTTACGTACCTGTTAAATTTGCATGGTAACGCCTTAACTACCGCGAGGAATCGTGTGCGCGAGTCCGTGATTCCGTGCATGCAAAAATCAGCTTCTGTGTAGCAGAACCAGGACTCGATATTGTAGGGCCAAAATGGCGTTAACTGAATCGAAATAGGGTGAATAGACTTTAACTTAAAAACCTTAGGTGAGTGTTCCGTCATAGTTGTCTAATTAAAATATATCCGGGAAAAAACTCGCGAAAAAAGAAAAAAAAAGTATATCACAATATATAAAATTCAAATAAAGAATAACAATGAATAATAATATTCCAAAGTGGAACAGACTCACAGAATATTGGCTTGGTGTACCAGATCACGTTAGGCTCACCACTGAAGATACGACGGATATTCTAGTTTAACAACTAGCTACCAGTAGCACCTTCTATATTCGATCGTTCCCGGTCAAAGGAAATCAGAAGTCAGACGAGAAGAGGCAGGAAAGATATATTTGATACGTTACCAATATATCGAGAGGCTTCGTTCTTAACTGGCTATTGAAACGTAGGAGCTGTGTCCCACGCCGAGTTGCAACGTGATCTGGTACGGATGCATGACCGAAAGCCTTCAGTTAAACAAGTACACTTAAACAACGTGGTCAGCATCCAATGTCCAACACTTACAGAGCTATTGATTTTGGGGAATTATTTACAGCTACATCTTCAATCCTCGTGTATAGTCAACCACTTAAATGGCGTTGGTGAATGACGGAATTAAATAGGTCAAATACGAGGATGAATGTTTTAAAACGTATATTTCGTACATTCGCTGATCCAGACATAAGATCGGGGAAACTAAGCAAAGAAAAATAAGAGAAGGGAGAGGAGCAAAATGACACGCAGTTGAGAGGGCGAGTGAGCCAACTATATTTAGCCAAGCGTGAATCGATATTTATAGTCGAAGAAAAAGAAGCTACAGACAAGTGATACGTAAGATAAGAAATACACTTACATACGATCATAAAAAAACAGTCATGATTATTAAGCGAATAAGTGACAGGGTAAAAATTTGGCTCGAAGACAGTGAATGGATTGATCTTTTCAGAGACTAGAATAACCTATGTGAGCTTAAAATGGTACCAGTCCGTATACCATCAATTAGTAACAAATCACATTTCCATTGTACTGTCTAAATGCGACAGTGTTTTTGATTACAGTAATTTACTTTCCTTTTTGAAATGTGTATGTGTAGGCTCTACGATACATTGCAAATAATTACAACAGTACACGATTTTCAATAGTCATCTTGGTTTTACCCTTATAATAATGCAAGAGATATGGTATTCGTTGCTCATCATAAATAATAAAAAAACATATGTATTAAAACGGGACACACGAATGTCCAATAGAACCTCGGTTCTGCATCAGAATATCTAATTTCTGCTTTTGGGAAGTCACCCCTTGCTACCATCAGGGACAATGCAGACTTAACTTTATCCTTGCTATGAAGGATCTTAAACGATTTTAGTTCTAGATGAACATTTAAACTTCAAGTGTTTTTATTCTAACTATACTTGCCAATATTTCTTCTAGTATGGTCCCCTCCACTATGTGAGTTATTTAACCAAGACCTAGTACAGGCAATACTACTACATTTACTGACATTATTAACTTCAGAACCTTGAAATAAGGGTGTATCAGAAGTGATTTACTGTGAAACATGATGGAAGTCTTCAAGTTCATTCTCTTTGTCAACCAATTTAACCCGGACTGACTTGTTGTTCCTTGATGAAAACATCCCAAGACAGGTTCTACAGTTAGACAAAGTATAATGTTCAGTAATTTCAAAAGAAACAGAAATATCTAGTACTAACACAATATTATCAACATCAAGAAAATAGTTCAGTAAAATGACGTTCAGTAAAAATGATCAACAGTTCCAACAGAGACGAAGACATTCAGTAGCTTACAGGAACTTTTAGTGTTCTACCAAAGCCAAATCACTTATTAATCAGCAAACTAACAATACGTTAATTTAACCTTATTCCACTAAGTATCTTGTGTTTCCTATCATTAAGGTTTTTATTTTAAAAATTTAACTAATCGAACTGTTTCCTATTGTAAATATATCAGTCCGAGTATTTATCTGTGTGATCAGTTAGATATATTTGATATTAGAGTTATATAAACTATAGAGAAATTTTTGTTTACTTCTATCCTAAACTTTATTTGTCAAGCATATAAGAAATGACTGAAATTCGGTAAGACATTTTAGTTGGAATCACGAGTAGGGTTAGATAGAATATTAACAAGGTAGAGGGGTGGAATAAACAAGACACACAAGTGCCGATATAATGACATGCGCAATTTATAAGGAAAATGTTAGGAGTACAAAACAGAGACCAAGAGAGAAAGAACGTAATACAACTAAAATACGTCTTGAAGGTTTATAACATTTGCCATGACAAAAGAAGAAGCAACATCTCAATTAACTCGAAGCATATTTCATACAATTTATGTAAAGTTTTCACGAGCCCGTAGAAAACTATATGGATGGCGTCATTTAGGATGGTTAGTTTTGTTGGTCGCTGCTCTGAACGTTGTTTGCATAGGGGGCAAAAGAAGGGCATTCGGAATATTCGTTGCTGCTCTACATAAAGCTTATAATGACACAAGCATGACGGAATTGAATTGGGTTGGTGACAGTTATGCTGCAGTTGGATTCTTTTTAATGCCTTTCGCTACAACAGCAATAATTCGATGGAATCGGCCGTATAGATGTACTATGGTTCTAGCCGGTTTATTAATTTTTATAAGTTGTATGACTTCAGCAGTAGTGCCTAGTCCAGGGTACCTATTCCTGACTCATACACTAATACATGGCCTTGGGTCTACACTTATTTTATGTGGAACAAGTCTTGTAACAGAAGAGTATTTTGACAGATCTCATCGATTTCATGTTTTGGCAACTGCGTTTGTTTCCGGTGGACCTTATGGTGTACTAATATTTGGTCCATTGTATTCAAATTTAATACAAAGCTACGGTTGGCAAGTGACATTTCAATTAAGTGGATTACTTTTCTTACTTGTGACATGTCTAGCCGGAGTTGTTTTTATTTCGCGAGATATATTTGAATATAACCAAGCTATGTTGGAGATTTCTGATACATTTGAAGAAAATACCATGAACAAAGCCTTACGAAAAGATTCTTTATTGTTACATAATTCTCCGAAAGCCAGTGATGGACGGAGATGGGCTTTTTGCTCAGTTGAACATTTGAAAAATAATCCACAAGTGTTCGTCTGGGGATTTGAACGCTTACTTCATAATCTCGTAATATATGGTTTACTAATGAACATGACAGCTTATGTAAGTGAAGCTTTAAATGATCAATTGGTAATGGGTGCCCGCGTTAACTTATACTTTGGTATAGGAGAATCAGTAGTATTTACACTTGGAGCTTTAATCGGTGATCGTATAAGAGGTTATTTAGCATATGCTTATCTTATTGGGGCACTATTTGCAGCTCTATTTTTGGTTATTATGCAAAATACATATGAAGATTTAAATGTGGTTTATGTACTGGCCGGATTTACTGGTGCTACTGTTGGTGTAGGCAATACGTTTCTATATGCTACTTCAGAAGAGATAATGATGGTTCATGGATCGATTGCATTTCCTATGACAAAAATGATTGCCGGTATTGGTATGCTGTTGGCACCATTATTCTCTGGTGCGATTATTGATGGATTTGGATATGGTGGATTTTTTATTAGTATGGCGATCCTAGTGTCAATAAGGGCTATTCTCTTAGGTTTTATATGTTATATATTAAATCTCAAGAAAAAGTTGCTTTTAGCTAGTGAAAAAGAACACGTGTCTACAAATGATAATAATCTTCATCATTGTTGTCAAAATACTACTAAACAAGGTAGTGAAAAAATAGCCGAAATAAATGAAATTGATAATGCAAAATCTGAAATCACGAATGGATTATATTATAATTCGACAGAACATGATTTAGAGAAACGTATTCAAACTTCTTCTGAATGGTATTATGACAATGATCGCCGAATACCATAAACCTTTTATGCATAATAAAATTGTATAATTTAAACATTATATTGAAACTTATGTTGTTAAAGAACTAAGAAAAAACGATAATTTTATTTACATTTTATTGAATGAATTTGAACTTCTACGGTAGAATTGTTTAAAAGTATAAAATTAATTGAATGAATGAAGATTGATCCAAACTTTGGAGAGTAAGTAGCATTTATTTATAATGATGATTTTGTTAGGAATTTCAGGTGATATAATTTTTGTTATTTTACTTTTCGAAAAACGGTGAAGTGAATCCTATCAAATTTAAATTTAATCCTTACAGTGCATTTAGAAATAAAGAGTTTTTGTGCAAACAATTGATTCAATAACTTTTTCATCAGGCTACATAGTTACAGATTCATAATTAAATATAATATATGTTGAATATAGAGAACTTATGCTCTGGTTATCGTTTGATCATATATCTCAAATGTATACCATGTATTATTCTCAACTCTCGCTTCATTCGTCACAATCTATATGGATTTCTTACATTAATTACCATGATAATATTTCGCAATGATTTTGAAAGAAATTTTCTTAAAGTTTGTTGAACTAATTTACATTTTCAAGATAATTATTGCAGATTCAAAAACTGTTCAAAATCGGTACTAATTTTCGAACTTCAAGTTGAGAAATTTAGGACTTATTACAGTTTGCTAAAAAAGATCCTGACTGCCACTCAATATAGCAAGTTCAACGAGACTAGGTGTTGCAAACTTAAATCTCTGTACATCGTGGGTGTACAGTGTCAAGATTCCTAAAATCAAGACGAAACAGTTGTCCTGTGTTCTCTACAACTATCAATTCGTAACACAGCTTGTATCAAACTGAAATAAATGATTTATGTTTGATAAAATATGGAGAATCCTTTAGTATTCATAATATTAGAACTGATACTTCATATATTTTATTGTTTAATTACTACAGTTGAAAGACATATTTTCATTTCAAAGTTTTTCCGTGACTAAGAATTCTCGACCACAGAAAGCTTCTTGTTACTTTTGATATTGGGCTTTTAAAGATTTTCAACTGTTCTCATAATTAAGGACCCTATTTAGAATTTTCCACCGTGGAATTAATTACATCAACGCCAACTGTTTGTCACTTATACTATGTTGTATCTTTGTTAAAATCGATGGATGATAAAAGTTATAGGGATCTGAAGCTTCGGTCCCATCAGAAGATGCTTGTAAATGGTTAGAAATGGTTATTTTAGCCTTCTGAATTATTAGGTGTACAATTACAGTTTTGTTAATGTATGACTGAGAATTTTGATTTAAAGCAAATTTCAAGGTGAGGATTTAATGAAATTACTTTATAAGAAAATGAAAAGAAAGCGAAATTCGGTCAACAATATATTCTTGCTCTATCTCAATATGTTATAGTTCAAATAAAAAAGATTCTTAAGAAGTTAGAAAAGTATGAAAACCATACTTATTAGTAAAAGTGTTTGATAATGTTGAGTAATTGTAGATGATTTCACAAAACACCTCTCAACAAGACTTGATGATTTGTAGTCACATCAGATCGAAGCTGGACCATAGCAGTTGATTTCACATTCGATCCAGTCTAAACAACCCAACAACAGGAAAGAAATGTTAATGAGTAAAACAATGAGAACTTTCAAAAAGGGTGCTAAATTTTTTTAGAGGTATGACACCTGTTAATGTCAAGAATTGAGTGCTTTTTACTGAGTGGATGATATCTATACTATGTATTCAACTAAGTATTTATGTAACGATACATTCATTCGATATGTAGAAGACGAATACCTAATGTTAATCAGTGTATTTATTATATGGATGATGCAATAACTTTTAGTGGAGTTCAGGGAAATAGCTTCACTTATATTCCAGGCATATATAAGAACTGACTAGTATCTTAACAGTAATGGGTGTCTGTGTAAGCACTTATACACATCGTTTGGTATTTTTAAAAATTATGGAGATACCTGTTGAGTTATTTGTCAAAGAAAGCTGATAATATGTTGTGAGTGCCTTTAAAATATTTTGGAAAAACAAATGATTTTCTAAAATGAGTTCCTACTGTATTATCAAGAATCTGGAATCAACAGAAAACCCCATTTTTCGTTTATCATATTTGTACTATTTTAAGCACGTTTAGTTTAAGAAAACACACTACTGTGTAGGCTATTCCGCTGTGGAATAGTCATTATTATTAAAAATACAACTTTTATGAACTACTAAGAAATGAAATGGGAAGTTAAAAGTTTTCTAAAAAAAAGAATCATAATGTTCAGTGATTTTTCTGCTGAGTATTTTCATTGTTTCATAACATTAACAGAGATCAAAATACTTTATAATTGCCATTTGCATACTATGATCAAATTATTCAAGTAGTATATTATAGATTTGCATTTCTAGCTTACAGGTTAAAGTTGATGAAACAAGAAAAATTGAAACTAAATGTAACAATTTAATCTATCATTAAAAAGTACATTTCCATTATAACATCACTTAAAGGTTCAGTATATTATTTGATCAACAATAATCTATTCTTTAATTGGTAACCAAGTTTGACAGTAGATAATTTTTGATTTTACAGTCAAACAGAGCAAATTTTAATAGCTCACAGGAAATAATTTTTTATAGTTGCAACACTTTTAAACTTGATAAAGATAACTATTCATTAGTTGAACTAAACTGTATCCAATACCCATATATATATATATATATATATATATATATATATATATATATATATATATATATAGGATGAAAATTTATTTGTTACCACGCATATAATTCAAGTATGATGCTATAAATGTTTCATCACGAAAAGGCTACATTTTTCTCTAGAAAAAACATATAATCTGGATAAAAAAACCAGTCATTATACATAACACTCTTAGTTATTGTAAACATACTCTCACATCTGGATTAGGAGTCCAAGTAAATATAATTGGTTGTTCAGTTCCTGGTTCTAAAATCAGCTGTATGAGAAATATTTTAGAAAATAAAAAAAATGAATCATTAATTAAAATTTTTTAAGAAATTCTTATATAGGTTATATTTAAGGCATAACAATATACAACATGCAACAAAATAATTATTTACTATTCATTAAATTATGTATATGAAAAACTACAGTTATGAAATAGATACTGAAATGTCCCCAAATGCTCTGGTATGGCCGAAAGTGGGGAGGGTCTGCTCTCCCTCTCGAAATACTCTCACATGGCCAGCGAATATATAGCCTCTCCAGGGAAGTCCTACTCACCGCCTTCTTGCACCACGGGGGTTGTTTATGAAACCGGGAGGACGGAAAGCGAACGTCCGGCGCTTTAATCGGGCTAGTGGATATGGAGACTCCACCTAGGGGGGTTGGGAAACCCTGATTCCAAACCAATGGTGCACATGGGCTCCAGTATCCTGAGGGAACAAATGGCATATGAATCAATCATCGGTCACCGGCTACCATAGGACTGCATCCCCTCACGATGCTCCACTGCCTTATGGATCAGATCTTTAGGTCAAAGGCTTTGGGCGTGGTCCCCTGAGAAAACCACTTGCTTCAGTTTGGGCACCCGGTCGGTATCACAGCCCTAACAAAAATCGAATGAGATTTGTGCGGCGCATATGTATCTGGTGTCTCTTTGTACCAATATTTGTGTTTAAATAATAATAAAAAATAATAATAATAAGATACTGAAATTTCTTAATTTCATTGATATATTATTGAGATCTTATAAAGAAAAAAAATGTAAAAATAATAAAATATCTTAGTAGATCAATGAATTGATTATTTAAACAGTATCAATTTAGTATAAATATTTGACTTCAAATAATTTATGATCAGTACTAAATTAATCTATATGATTTAAAATAATTTTCATGTTAAACTATAAAAATTCATTTTTATTTAAAGTATATGAAATAGAATACTTACCTTTGTTGGACTAACAATAAATCCAAGAGCGGATAATTCATTTATATTTTCTATTGTACATTCACCACTCTGATAATTTAAACAAATTTAAAATTTAAACGAAAATTTTTTAGCATAGAATTAACAAAACGTTAGTAATATTGACAAAAAAAGATTGATAAGAATGAATTTCAGTTTAGTGATTATTTGTAATGTTCTTTAATTAGGGAATGGTTCTCTGAACACTGATGTAAAGGAAACTAGATTATAAATTCATTTAGTATTGTTTGTTTGAATCTTCCCATCGATGTGTTAGAACTGCAGCTGGTCAGTCTCTAATTGGCAGATGTGCATACTGTGCTTATTGCCTGACCAGTTGCAGCCCTAACACATCGATGGGAAGATTCAAACAAACAATACTAAATGAATATAAAATTCACTCCATCGCACAAGCAAGTGACTATCAGGACTCAGTGGCCGAGCGGATAACGCGATGGCGTTTAAAGCGAGTGGTACTGGGTTCGAGTCACAGAGTGAACATCAACTCTGAGATGCAGGTACATCCAGCTGAAGAGTCCCAAATAGGACGAAACGCGCGTCTTGGATTCCGCTGCTAGCCACTATCCATCTTTGCTTACGAAACTAGATTATGTTGATACGCTATAGTTTTATAATGGTTACAGTAAATCTTATATAAAAAGTTACTATAAATGTCACAGTTTAGTCCCTTCAATTTACATAAAATCTTTAGCGCATTTCAGTATCAAACGAATGATACTTTTATAAGGTTTTGTAAATAATCATCAGTAACTATGATGAAGTATGCGATAATGTTGTCCTAACTTAGAATGAAGGCTTTGTTTCGAAATCATTTCGCTCAAAAGACACAACATTAAGAGAAACGTTTCCTGCATAATTTCGAGCATCTAAATAATAATAAAGTCGCGGGACGGATAACAGAAATCGAATAACAAAATTCAATTTGTATTTGAATCAATTACAACATATTTTTTGGTTCAGTGGGACCTGGCATTAAAAGTAGTATGGAGAACCAATCAGAAGTAGCGAAAGGGTCAGTCGATGACAATCAGAAGTCACTTAAAGGTCAAGTGCAGTTAATTGGGTCAATGGGTCGATTTTTTAAGGAAAGAGTGGTATATACATAAATGAGTATTTTTTTCAATTCATTCGGTAACCCAATTCACATTCTCACTCACTCTTGTGTACTCATTCAAGTAGTCAGTTTGGGGTGGATTAGCACATAGCACACTGTGCATCAGTATCAGATTTCGGACATCGCACATCACAACAAAAGGCATGTCTTAATATCTAAATTTATTTTCTTGAAAAAGTGATGGTTGAGAATTACAAGAATTCTAGTGATTAGCGTTTATGGACACTGAATATTAAGGTTCAAACGTTGTCTAGGATTTGTCTTTATTGATAACCAAAGTTATCGGTTATTCATTTTAATGAATTAACATGCACCATCACACTGCTCTGCTGTACGTTTAGAGTCATACAAAGTTTCGTTATAAAGTGGGTCTTTTACATGAATGATTGTTTAACTTTCTATTTATAATTAAGTTATTACTGTTTGACTAAACGCATTATCATTGCCAGTACAAGTATATTCAATTATGTAGACGAGCTTCTAATGATGTCAGTAAAATAGATGAATGGATCTGAAAAATTTAAAGACAATGTCCATTAGCAGTCAAAAATTTTTGGGATAAAGCTATTTCAGATATTTTGCAGAATTATATCATTTATTTGGAACAGAAACTTTCCAGATACCGTAAACCAGTTTACTTAGAAAATAATTTTGTTGCATTAGAATATTTTTGCAGTAAGTTCATGAATTAACACCTATTTAGAATGTAATATGAAAAATCCTTTTTCGTAACACAATACCGACTGTTAACTAGGCTAATAAAATATGATTTGCAGTATACAACAAACAAACAATCAATATACGAACCTTTTTTGCACCACTACTTGAGGAGTGAACATAACCAGCGTATAAAATTCTTCTAGCAGGAGTTTCTTTATATTTTACTTCTTTTTTAGTAGGTAGGTTATCTGTATCCTCCTTTTCAACTTGTTCCGTTTCACTATTTGTATTCGAATCCTCTCTTACTAAAGAGGATTGTTGGCCAGTTATTACTAGATAGGAAGTTGTTTCTAGATTATAGATATGAAAACATTTGAAAACCATTCTGGTTACCAAAAGTTGTGCCAAACAAACATTATAGGGTAAAATCGAAACTGTCTGATTTTTCGAAACTTTCCATAATTTTGATGAATGGTAAATTTTACTTCTAGTTATTGCCCTGGTCATTTACGCCCAAAACAACAACGGTAAGATTTG